TTTGCTGAAGTTCGCAGAATCTAGTCAAGAAGAAGCTCAGTGAAATATTTTTAAATATAATTTATAATGATAATATTATATACAGCGAGTACCTGTTTCAAATAATTCCTGTTATATTTTTTTTCTTTCAATTGAATTGAATCAGTTGTCCCGGCGAGGCACAGCACGTATCGTCGCATGATGTATTTTCATGTTCACTCCATGGCTAGTGTCAATTCGAAAACAACGACTTCCGGTTTGAACACTAGTCTAGCTCAAACGTAGCTCAAATTTGGACGGATTTGGTCCAGAAAAAAGACAGAAGCACTGAAAAAAACGAAAGCAAAGCGCAAAATATATATTTGAAACGCACGTAATATAAACACGTAAAGTCACGACTTAGTCACCTCGAGACAAATTTAATCACCGATCTCGAACGGTTCCTACATTATAAATTACTCACAGTGCGCACAAACAGTAACTAGATATTTAGATAACAAATAACAAATTAAATGGTTAGACCATACAAATTGACACTGAGGAGATATATTAAACATCTTGGATAACCGTTTTTCTTTTTTTTTTATAGTGTCCATTATTTATGTTTATATAAATAAATTCTCTGTTTTAGATAAAGATATTGTATCTTAGCGATTATTAATTTTCAAACTGATCGATGTGCTTCAGAGAAAGTTACTTAAATCAATTGCACGCCAAAAGCATTTATATAATTTGATATTATAGTATTAAGGCTACGTTCCATTTAAGCTCACAACGCTCGTGGAATCATTTTATCCTTGTTATTTATCAAATGTTAAACAAGGACAAATGATGCTTGCAAGAATTACGAGCTTTTAAGTAAAATGCAGACTAAGTTGAAAATTTATTATTTATCGTTATATGAACCTAATCAAATTTTTTTTTGTAAATACGCAGCCCGAGATTTCGGATATGTTAATTTAAGTTGTTCACGTTTTTGACATTAATCAAAAACGGAACAGAAATCCGGCTGTAACAAGGAAGTTCTTAATCGCAATGTTAGGTTTATTAACGATTGGTGCTGCCTGTAACAATTGGTGCTGCTGTACGACGTATGTAAGATGTGTATACGTCGATGACGAACTCCTGATTTAAGCGGCCAGTGTAGACTCCAATATAAGTACCAAATATTAGATTTATGTAGGCAACGAAAGGGGCGCGAGAGAGTAACGCACGCTCGATGTTGAAATATATCCGTGGCGAAATATGTGATAAATAAATGTTTCTGTATCGAGTATATCGTTGATGTTAGATTTCCTCGATGTGTGAAAATCACATATGACAATCGGGAAATTGCTGAAATTACGTTGAAAAAAATATGGTAATAGTTATATCGAAGGTATAGTTTAGCGTATTGGTGTAATATTTAGTGAATATTACCGAATATAATAATAGTTACGAACTAAAGTTGGCTAATAATTAAAAAAATAAAATAATATTTGGAAAAGTAAAATTTAAATTTAATCGATTTATGTTAACCAAATATTTGATTGAAATTATTTTATCAAAACTTTAGAAATCAACATTTAGGATTATTATTAAACTTTTTTCAGAGTATCTGCTGAAATTGCTGAAATAGTTGTTATTTTGTAATGGATGCATGGAAGAGAATTAATTAAATGCATAAGAAATCCGTTATTTTATTGGCATATAATGCAAAAATATGCAATTAATGAGCTTATAATAGAAACAAACATTTTAAAAGAGCTGAAAATTTGATTGGCTTAACAATATATGACGTGTTCTTACTGTATTTTAACAAAAATGATGGACTTCCTTTAGAGTATAATGTTCAATTTATTTCATTCCGTTCACTTTTAATTATATTGCAAAGTAATAGTTATATAATTTCAGCGACTTCTCGATTGTCACTGCGTATTACAACCGTTTCTAAAGCGACTCAACTCGATCAATATTTTTGTCCGCCCTAAATTCAACGATGAATACGAGATGTTATTACTTATTCTCTCAGCGATTGCCCGTTTCATCAGTCTCTAGATAGTACGATGATTTGTAAATAGTAGCGTGTACGAAGGTCATGATATTCCCATAATGTAAAGAGAAAGAAACACGTCACCGCATATAACATTGAATATGTCGATCGTGGTAGATAATAAGACTACGCGAGACAGTATTCGCCTCAGCGAAACGTGAAATCGGTTCAAGTTCAATTACAGTTCCGAAATAGATGTTATTATTCGGTTGATAATGTCGGAAAATCGATATCGAACTCGGAGAGTTGTATTCAACGCATATATTCAATGCACAATATTGCGTCCGACCTGACTTTACATGCTCGACTTTATGTTCAAAATCATAGTCTTGACGCAACGGTAAAACCAATTTTGAAATGAATTCTAATGTAATGATTATTTGGAATTGGACCGACTTCACATATCGATTTCGGTACTATTTCGCATAGCTCTAATAGATAATGCATTCGAATCAATACTGAAAATTTGTAGATAAAAACGTGACAGGTAACGTGGCTCGTTTGGGTCAAATGCGCTTATTATTTTTTTTTTATCGGTTGCTTTTGTACCCAGCGAGCCGCGATTAGTGCCATAATGTCGTAAGATCGTGAAAATTAATCAAAAATCGTGTCGTTGTCTTAATCGTTACGTCCACGTACATCAATTTTCCGCAATTAAGCGCGACGGAAAGTTCACGCAGACATTATTCTACAATTCTACATAATTTTTCAGATATACGTTTGCGCATACGAAAATAAATCTCTAAAAATTCACCAACATACTTTCAACTTTCTAGAATAAATATTAACTCTTTATTTTGGAAAATAATAAAATATAGTATAATTTATAATTACCGAAAGACTCAAAGAAACTTGCATGAGCAGGAATCGCTTGGTCACTAGTTACCCATATTAGTACGGTAAGGGTTAATTATGACGAGCAAACTATTGTCGAAAAGCAATCGTTTATAAAATTTTGTTGACAAAGAAAATTTAACCGTTTCTACAAAGACTTGTATACAATATTTATTTTTTTACACGATAAGTCGCGATGAGGTCAATTCCATGACTTAATTGATTTTTCCCTAACGACATTGATATATCAATATGACGCGATGGATGACGCGTGATTTTCGTAACTTTTCAATCTTGTGATGTTCTATTGAGCACAGCAATATTAAGTTTTATGTGTTCATACAATTATATTTACATTTATGCGCATTCCTGACCTAAGAAATAAAAACGAATACTATTCTTAATTTTATTGATTTTTCTTGACTTCCCATTATTCCTCTCAAATATGAGACTTATCCAAGATAATGAATTTTTATTTTTAATTTCGGAATTGTAAAGTTACACATCTGGAATGTACGAACTATAATATCATTACGGTGTATCATGCATAATCATGCATAGTCATGCACTTAGAGAGGTACTATAAAGAGATACGCAGTGTTTGTAAAAAATTTCATTTATAATGGAAGCGGCATAGAACAGGACCGTGTAGAGTAATGCAAAAAATAACAGAAGAATTATATTGCTTACAAAATATAAAGAACATATAAAATTTAAAGTAAATAGTTCACAATTGCTGTTAAAGCTTGCATAATAGTTTTAAATATTAATTCGTGAGCTTTTGTGAAAACTGAAAGAATATTTGACCAGAAAAGTTTAAGTTGATTCTTTAAAATTTTTTTCAAAGTACGTATGTTATTTTTCAGTTAAATGTCTAATCGAATGTATAAGTTTTTTTGTAAAAGATTTAATTTTTGCAATTACAAATTAATTATAGTATACAGATAACTGGAGACAGAGAGAGAGAGAGAGAGAGAGAGAGAGAGAGAGAGAGAAAGAGAATCTACTTTTTTACTTTTAAAAATATATATAAAATTACAATTATACGTGAATATAAACAATTCTATTACAAATTTTAAAACGATATACGAAATAAGTGACATTTTTTTATTGAAAATCATTCAGAAAAAAAAATTAGGTACAAGAGAAATCATTAATTAAAATAAATATCTATAAATTAAAAAAATAAAATAAAAAAAAATATAAGTTTGATTTTTCTATAACTTATATAACATTGAGATTACAATAATGCTCAATGATATTATCAGCTACAGTTTATTTTTTATGATTCTGCATGTAAATTTCATAAATTTTATTGGAAATTTGCGATATCTGGTTTACATGAATATTTCTTCTTTCCACCGCGCTAGAACGATTTAACTATAAATGTCAGAGGTGATAGCTCGACTGTTCACGTCGAGAAGTGAGTTTAACCCACAGACTTCTATATATACTACTAGACTGCTAACTCTCTTAGTATAAGCTTGTATAAAGTGGACCCCAAAACTTATAGTGGTCCTGCGCATGCGTCACGAACTACACCGAAGGAATGTAATATGGCTGTGTCCTGCGATGATTGTGATACTGCGAATAGCCGTATTGTAG